GGACAACTGAGGAGGAGAGAGGGACAACTGAGGAGGAGAGAGGGACAACTGAGGTGGAGAGAGGGACAACTGAGGAGGAGAGAGGGACAACTGAGGAGGAAAGAGGGACAACTGAGGAGGAGAGAGGGACAACTGAGGTGGAGAGAGGGACAACTGAGGAAGAGAGAGGGACAACTGAGGAGGAGAGATGGACAACTGAGGTGGAGAGAGGGACAACTGAAGAAGAGAGAGGGACAACTGAGGAGGAGAGAGGGACAACTGAGGTGGAGAGAGGGACAACTGAGGAAGAGAGAGAGACAACTGAGGAGGAGAGAGGGACAACTGAGGTGGAGAGAGGGACAACTGAGGAAGAGAGAGGGACAACTGAGGAGGAGAGATGGACAGAGGGACTGGGTTCCAGATTAGGGACATCTGTGCACTAGTACATATGGACCATCTGCACTACATGTCCCCCGGCTCCCACAGGGACATCAATATCTGGAGCCATTAGTCATACAGACCTGAGAGTCGGGTGAATGGAGCCGGCCATGCGGGCTATACTGGATTGGGGGGGACACAGAGAAAAGTCTATACGTAGAATGAATAATGACATATTATTGTCCTCTTATCATCGGCAGGATCGGGGGCGGCATCCTTCGGCACCGTGGCGGACGCTGTGCTAGATGCAGTGACGGAATTTACTGCCAATGATTCCCCCAAATCAGTTCAAAAGGTGAAAGTGATCACTCCGCTGCAGCCAATGTTAGATGATTTCCTCAAAGCCATGAAGGCGAAGGAAGGATCTGCTGCAGCAAAACAATCCTCCGGCTGGGGGTCTGGATTTTCTAAGATGACGAAATGTGAGCGCTGATACCGTTATATCTTTTCATATTCGGCTTCTGTCTGTTGGCTGTTCCTTCAACTCAATCATCATTACATTGTTAGTAGGGATGTCGATCCCAGTATGTGCATGGAAAATTCATATACTACTATTCTGCATTGCTGGGATTTGTAGTCCTCTATAGCTGATAGTATTCTGCATTGCTGTATAATGTATTGCTGGGATTTGTAGTCCTCTATAGCTGATAGTATTCTGCATTGCTGTATAATGTATTGCTGGGATTTGTAGTCCTCTATAGCTGATAGTATTCTGCATTGCTGTATAATGTATTGCTGGGATTTGTAGTCCTCTATAGTTGGTGGTAATATTATGCATTGCTGTTTCGGTGCACCTCTATTTATCTCTGTCCAGAACCGATTTTGTTTGATTGCAAATTAATCACTAATTTCTGAATGAGGTGGTAACGATGCTAATAATGATCAGACTTCCCACAGACCCCAAGAAGTACCTTCCTTCCCATTTCTAACCATCTGTGAACCTTTATACTAATACAAAGTGTAAAGTACAAAGACCGCCAGCAACCAATCAAAATTAATTTCCTTCTCTGACCTCCATTAGGCGGAATGACATAGACCCCAGTGGCGGATCCAGGGGGGGGCAACGGGGCAATTGCCCCCCTGAGATTAGTGCCGCTCCTGTCCCCGTCCACGGCCAGCCACCCGCAGTGTGTAGTGACAGCTCTCCCTCCTCCGTGTCACAGACTTTACTGCGGTTCATTGTAAAAAAAACTTTGTACAATGAACTGCAGTAAAGTCTGTGACACGGAGGAGGGACAGCTGTATGGTCCGGCGTGTGCGGGGATCCGAATGAAACAGGCGGCTGCCTGTCATTGAAAGTGACTGATAGCCTGGTGGAGGCGGAGCCTATACTCGTCTCTGCAGGCACAGCCAGGCAGCCACATCCTGGGTGATCGTGAGGACCCTCTCCTGTGTCCCCTCCCCTCCACTGGCCGCCAAGGACACAGAAGAAGAGGTGCTGCAGCCTGCATGTAGGTAGGTGAGGTTGGGGAGACTGTGGGTGATGGCTGGCAAGTTGGGGGGAAAGGGGGGAAATCTATTCTGCATTGCTGTATAATGGTATTGCTGGGATTTGTAGTCCTCTATTGCTGATGCTATTCTGCATTGCTGTATAATGGTATTGCTGGAAATCGTAGTTCTCTATAGCTGTTGGCAGTCTGCATTGCTGTATACTGTATTGCAGGGATTTGTAGTCCTCTATAGCTGATGGTATTCTGCATTGTTGTGTAATCAGGGGTGTGGAACTTTTTTTTTTTAAACGACTTGTCCGAGGGATAAAGCGGGGGCCGAATCTACTTGCCCTTCATGACAATCTACTTGTCCCAATACAAAAACATTGTTTTAATCAAAACTAGGGACGCACCAATGCCGGTTTTTCGGTATCAAGTACGAGTACCGATATTTTGCTTTTGGTACTCGCCGATACTGAATACCAATACCGGTGCTTCCACTGGCATGGAGCAGGCTTCCCGGGTAATCAGGAAGCCGGCAGCGGGTAATAACATGCCAACCGGCTCTCTGATTGCCAGGGAAGCCGGCTGCATGTTGTTTGGCCGGCTTAATTGTGGTTGGCCGGGAAACCGTCTTAAAATATTAACCGTTCTGTAAGCAAAACTTCATTTTCTGGCAGTGCCCCTCCCGAGAATAGACTCTGGATCCGCCCCTGATAGACCCTACAGTGACCCTAATCTTTTAGTCCTCTACATCAGCCCGGTATCACTGCCCGCACAGTACAATTACATTCATTTGTTTTTGTCTCCCAAACAGCCGTTGTTAGTTTTTTTTCGGGGAGTCCAGAAGAAGAAGATCCCGAGGTTTTTGAATTAAGAGAAAACATAGAGCCGGCTATTATCCATCTGTGTGCGGAAAGTCGGGGCGCCGTGGACAGGACGAAATCCTGGCTCCGCGAGCTGATAATGAAGGAGCAGTATGAGAACCTCATCACAGATGACTGGATCCAGGACTTTGATGACCATAAGGCTTTCGAACCTCTTCAGGAGAAGTACCAAGTCACCCTTACTTTTGACTTGTCAGGTTCCACAATCAAAGTGCTGGGCCTGTCCAGGGACGTTCTGGAGGTCAGCAATACAATCCAAGAAATGATAAAGACTGTGCGAGATAAGAAGATGAGGGAGCGAGAGGCGGAGCTGTGCAGTAATCTGGTGCAATGGGGATACCTCAACAGGAGCAACTTTGTTCCATTTGACAAAATGACAAACATGGAGCTGGAGAAGGCCAAGAACGAGAACATACAAAGTATATCTCTGGATATTAATGGGGCAAAATACACGGTGATTGTAGAGCTGCTGAGTGCGAGAGATCCCAGAGGGAACAACTTGAAGCTTCAACGAAATTCTAAACACGGTAACTTCTATTTTCAAATTCATTAAAGTGAACATAAAAATGGGAGATCTCATTGTTAAATTTAGGTGAAGTTGTCCTTTACGGT